CACACACACACACACACACACACACACACACACACACACACACACACACACACACACACACACACACACACACACACACACACACACACACACACACGCACGCACACACGCACGTGCGCACGCACACACGCACACACGCACTCGCGCACTCGCGCACTCGCGCACTCGTGCGCACTCGCGCACTCGCGCACTCGTGCACACACACGCACGCACACACGCACGCACGCACGCACGCACGCACGCACCCACACGCAAACACACACACACACACACACGCACGCACGCACGCACGCACGCACGCACGCACGCACGCACGCACGCACGCCCGCGCACGCACCCACCCACACACACACACACACACACGCACACACGCACCCACACACACACACACACACACACACACACACACACACGCGAGCGCGCGCGCACGCACACAGGGCACGCATGCGCGAACAGCAAACACACACACACACACATGCGCACGCGAGCACGTGCGAACACGCACGCTGGCAAGCACACGAGCATGCACGCATGAACGCACACCCACGCACATACACACACACACGGCCCCACACGCACACACACACACAAACACACACACACACACACTCACACACGCGCACACCCATACACCCACACACACACACAGTCTGAGCCCCACACACACAAACACAGACACACAGACACACACACACAGACACAGACACAGACGCAAACACACAGACAAACACACACACACAGACACACAGAGACACACAGAGACACACAGAGACACACAGAGACAGACAAATACACACAAAGACACACACAAAGACATACACACACACAAACACCTAAACACAGAGACACACAGAGACACACAAACACACTGACGCACACACACACACACAAACTGAGACGCACCCGCACCGCACGCGCGCATGCACGCACTCACACACGCACAAACACACACACAAAATGCACACGCACACTCACTTCAAGCACACTGGTGAGCTTCTTGTGCGACTCCTCTCTACTGCCAGCCGCATCGTCCTTGGGGTCACTGTCTCGTCTCACGATCGGCGTAGCCTTCTCTTCGAACTCTGTGAGGTCGAACATGTCGTAAAGCTGATCGTCGTGGGCAAGCTCGGAGTCTTCTCCTGCATCCTAGGCACGGGATGCCAAGCTCGAAAAGTCAACATATACTGATTGACGTTGAAACCGGAGCATGACTTCCACTCCAACATGCTGCCTCTCATCCACGTACTTCACCAATCGGGATCGAGGGATCGCTCATCGTGAGCTTGTCTTTTCTTTCAACTGCTGTGGTCAAGAGTACACATGGCATTTGCCAAATAGGGGGGCCGTTTAAAAATTGTTGCTGTTGGTTTGGAATCCCTTTGAAAGTACCTTTACAAGGCCTCAAAATAAGCACGACATCGGCATCCCAAGAGCCACCCCGCCAATGGGTTTCTAGCCCGGGTGCCACATATAAATCCACGCTGTCCCGGACAACGGCGAGGTCACTAATGTCCACTGCGTCGTTGTTCACCTTGGCCCAGCCTATGACATTCATGATATCATATCTTATCCCTCCTTAGGTCGGATATGAAACTTATTGGAGCTGTCACCCTGTTGAAACAAATCAAACAGCAGCAACCATCAGTTCCGAACTGCGGAACTGCCCCTTTTGCTGAACTTTAAGTTGCTGTGCAGGACACTTCGATGGCCCCTGCCTTTTAGAATGGGAAATTATTGCCTATCTCATGCTCATGGCTTTCTTCACCATGGACACGTCCATAAACATGGTTTAACCCATGGGCACGGCACAGGTTAGGAATGGATTAGGAAACCGTGCTGAATAGAAAAACGTTATAATTCTTGTTCATGTTGGCTACAGTCGGGAATGGATAATACTGGTATCTCTATGTAATGATAGACTGTAAATATTCATTCTATCTTGAACTATTTCTCTCTCTTTCATATTTGGAGAGACCATACCTTTCTTCCAAGGTTTGCCATTTGCGTTCATCTCCATCATTCACCTCTCTCCGTTGTAATGACGAGCCTCTTCCCTTTCACTAGCTACCCAACTGCTGAGTCAATCAGATCATCGGCCAAGAAAAGTGACGGAAGCAAATGGGAACACCGACATAGGTCCAAATGCTTATTTGAGATAATTTCCCGTTAGACATGAAACCGACCACGTCTCCAAACCAGGAACTTTTCTTTGAGAACACCTTTGTTTAGATGGCTTAAAGGAGGAACTCAATCAGTTTGGGTGTCCCCTTTCGTCCAGTCAGGTTCCATGTTGTGCACCCCCGAAAACCCGAAAGCCAGAGTTTCCATATCAACGTGGGGAGATGCATGGGCAGCATCCGTGTCCAAGTCACGGCCCTCAGAAGCTGCTCGAGCTTCTTGATGTGCCATCGGGAGCTCTCCTAAATCACTGGGCTTTTCATCTCATTTCTTACTGGGCGTTAAAGAGAGGGTCTGAAACATGTCAATAGGGATTCCTTTGAAACAACTGAAAGTTAGGTTTCAGTTTGGACACAGGCTTTTCGGTGGTTTGCCTTACGCTGGTTGATGAAACCAAAACGGAAAGTGCTGCTTTCCACTAATACTTAATATTACCCTTCACACCACCAACCTAAACGAGCAAGCAAACAAAGGCTGAGTTTTGTCTGCACATTTGAAATATGTTGTTTCCCTTCCAAACAACGGGAAGCAAAGCTTCAAAACAAAAACACACACACACACACACACACCAACTTTCTTGGGGCATTGTGCTCAAAACTGGCCTACACTCCAAACGTGGCTTGGTGCACATGCTTGCGAACAACAACCTGAAATTTGTGATACCAGAGAGGCTGATTCGACTACTTTATCGCTGCGAAGGGGAATTGGCCACTCACAGAAGCTGCCTCTATTTGAACAAGGTGCTGTGCACTTCAGGTTGACTGCTCTCAACCAGAGGGACTTGGGATCCCGTGTACGGGGCCAACCCCTTGTAGAAGCATGTTTAAGCAGCCTCCTTTCAGTTTCCCTTTAAGATGAGGGAAGGTCCAGGTGCTTTGATCAATTTTGCCCACCATGAAAACAAGGGCTAAGGGGGCTCGGCGGGTCATGGTAGCGCCAGGTGAAACTCCCAGTTGCACAACTCTGGGCAGAGAAAGAATTGATTTCCTGTTGGGCTTGAACCTGCTTATTGGGGAGACCAAACAAAAGGGAATCGACTCCAAAAATGGCGGCTTTCTTTCTCCTTTGCGTTTAACACAGAACGCACGCACACACACACATACACACATACTTACGACACCCGCAAGGGATTTGAAGTATCCCACTCGTGGTTCTTGTTGGCCTCTACGCATCGGCCGAGTGCTGCGCTGATACGGAAGTTTCAGCGAGCGCGTCACATGCGTTGAGATCGTCAGGGCCTCCCTAGCAGAATGGTTCTGTCAGAACTCCTAAAGTTCCAAGAACCCTTCCTGGGGGGTGGGGGGGCCCAGGTTCTTCCTCTAAAATGATAATAATATGTCGTGTATGCAAGAAGGTCCCTACCTCAAGTGGGGCCCCTTCCCAAACTTCATTCTTCTGGTCTTTCCTGCAAAAGGGATAATGGAATTATGATTGGAATTGCACGGGTCGCCCCCTTCAGATTCTGATTGGTGGCTTCTAGTAAGCACCAGGCAAGCAACCAACCAAGCACCCAGGAACCAGCAAACACCCCACGCAAACGAACAAGAGAACAAGCAAACCAACGAAGAAACAAGCGAGCAAGGCACAACACAGCAAAGCAAGGCACAACACAGCAAGGTAAGGCACGACACGGCAAAGCAAGGCACGACACGGCAATGCAAGGCACGGCAAAGCAAGGCACGACACGGCAACGCAAGCACGACACGGCAAAGCAAGGCACGACACGGCAATGCAAGGCACGGCAAAGCAAGGCACGACACAGCAAAGCAAGGCACGACACGGCAAAGCAAGGCACGACACGGCAATGCACGACACGGCAAAGCAAGGCACAACACAGCAAGGTAAGGCACGGCACGGCAAAGCAAGGCACGACACGGCAACGCAAGGCACGACACGGCAAAGCAAGGCACGACACGGCAATGCAAGGCACGTCAAAGCAAGGAACGACACGCAAAGCAAGGTACGACACGGCAAAGCAAGGCACGACACGGCAAAGCAAGGCACGACACGCAAAGCAAGGCACAACACAGCAAGGAAAGGCACGACGCGGCAAAGCAAGGCACGACACGGCAAAGCAAGGCACGACATGGCAAAGCAAGGCACGACACGGCAATGCAAGGCACGGCAAAGCAAGGCACGACACGGCAAAGCAAGGCACGACGCACGACACGGCAAAGCAAGGCACGACGCACGACACGGCAAAGCAAGGCACCACACGGCAAAGCAAGGCACGACACGGCACAGCAAGGCACGACACTGCAAAGCAAGGCACAACAAAACAAGGTAAGGCACGACACGGCAAAGCAAGGCACGACGCGGCAAAGCAAGGCACGACACGGCAATGCAAGGCACGGCAAAGCAAGGCACGACACGGCAAAGCAAGCACGACACGGCAAAGCAAGGCACGACACGGCAATGCAAGGCACGGCAAAGCAAGGCACGACACGGCAAAGCAAGGCACGACGCGGCAAAGCAAGGCACGATGCACGACACGGCACAGCAAGGCACAACACAGCAAGGTAAGGCATGGCACGGCAAAGCAAGGCACGACACGGCAACGCAAGGCACGACACGGCAAAGCAAGGCACAACACAGCAAGGTAAGGCACGACGCGGCAAAGCAGGGCACGAAACGGCAAAGCAATGCACGACACGGCAAAGCAAGGCTACGACACGCAAGACAATGGCACGGCAAAGCAAGGCACGACACGGCAAAGCAAAGGCACAACACAAGCAAGTTAAGGCACGACTCGCCAAAAGCAAGCACGACACGCAAAAGCAAGGCACACAACGGCAAGCTAGGCACGACACGGCAATGCAAAGGCACGACACGGCAAAGCAAGGCGACACGGCAACGGCAAAGCAAGGCACGACACGGCAATGCAAGCACGGCAAAGCAAGGCACGACACGGCAAAGCAAGCACGACAGCAAGGCACGACGCACGACACGGCAAAGCAAGGCACGGCACGGCAAAGCAAGGAACGACACGCAAAGCAAGGTACGACACGGCAAAGCAAGGCACGACACGGCAAAGCAAGGCACGACACGCAAAGCAAGGCACGACGCGGCAAAACAAGGCACGACACGGCAATGCAAGGCACGACACGGCAAAGCAAGGCACGACACGGCAAAGCAAGGCACGACACGGCAAAGCAAGGCACGACGCACGACACGGCAATGCAAGGCACGACACGGCAAAGCAAGGAACGACACGCAAAGCAAGGCACGACACGGCAAAGCAAGGCACGACACGGCAAAGCAAGGCACGGCATGCAAAGCAAGGCACGACACGACAAAGCAAGGCACGACACGGCAAAGCAAGGCACGACACGCAAAGCAAGGCACGACACGGCAAAGCAAGTCACAACACGGCAAAGCAAGGCACGGCAAGGCAAAGCAAGGCACGACACAGCAAAGCAAGGCACGGCAAAGCAAGGCACGACACGGCAAAGCAAGGCACGACACGGAAATGCAAGGCACGACGCGGCAAAGCAAGGCACGACACGGCAACGCAAGGCACGACACGGCAAAGCAAGGCACAACACAGCAAGGTAAGGCACGACACGGCAAACCAAGGCACGACACGGCAAAGCCAGGCACGACACGGCAAAGCAAGGCACGACACGGCAATGCAAGGCACGACACGGCAAAGCAAGGCACGACACGGGAAAGCAAGGCACGACACGGCAAAGCAAGGCACGACACGGCAATGCAAGGCACGGCAAAGCAAGGCACGACGCGGCAAAGCAAGGCACGACACGGCAAAGCAAGGCACGACACGGCAACGCAAGGCACGACACGGCAAAGCAAGGCACAACACAGCAAGGTAAGGCACGACACGGCAAAGCAAGGCACGACACGGCAAAGCGAGGCACGACGCGGCAAAGCAAGGCACGACACGGCAATGCAAGGCACGGCAAAGCAAGGCACAACGCGGCAAAGCAAGGCACGACGCACGACACGGCAAAGCAAGGCACGACGCACGACACGGCAAAGCAAGGCACGACACATGACACGGCAAAGCAAGGCACGGCAAGGCAAAGCAAGGCACGACACGGCAAAGCAAGGCACGACACGGCAAAGAAGGCACGACACGGCAAAGCAAGGCACGACACGCAAAGCAAGGCACGACGCGGCAAAGCAAGGCACGACGCGGCAAAGCAAGGCACGACGCACGACACGGCAAAGCAAGGCACGACACGGCAACGCAAGGCACGACACGGCAAAGCAAGGCACAACACAGCAAGGTAAGGCACGACACGGCAAAGCAAGGCACGACACGGCAAAGCAAGGCACGACGCGGCAAAGCAAGGCACGACACGGCAAAGCAAGGCACGGCAAAGCAAGGCACGACACGGCAAAGCAAGGCACAACGCGGCAAAGCAAGGCACGACGCACGACACGGCAAAGCAAGGCACGATGCATGACACGGCAAAGCAAGGCACGGCAAGGCAAAGCAAGGCACGACACGGCAAAGCAAGGCACGACACGGCAAAGCAAGGCACGACACGGCAATGCAAGGCACGGCAAAGGAAGGCACGACGCGGCAAAGCAAGGCACGACGCCGCAAAGCAAGGCACGACGCACGACACGGCAAAGCAAGGCACGACGCACGACACGGCAAAGCAAGGCACGACACGGCAAAGCAAGGAACGACACGCAAAGCAAGGCACGACACGGCAAAGCAAGGCACGACACGGCAAAGCAAGGCACGACGCACGACACGGCAATGCAAGGCACGACGCGGCAAAGCAAGGCACGACACGGCAAAGCAAGGCACGACACGGCAAAGCAAGGCACGACACGGCAAAGCCAGGCACCACACGGCAAAGCAAGGCGCGACACGGCAAAGCAAGGCACGACACGGCAATGCAAGGCACGGCAAAGCAAGGCACGACACGGCAAAGCAAGGCACGACGCACGACACGGCAATGCAAGGCACGACACATGACACGGCAAAGCAAGGCACGGCAAGGCAAAGCAAGGCACGACACGCAAAGCAAGGCACGACACGGCAAAGCAAGGCACGACACGGCAAAGCAAGGCACGACACGCAAAGCAAGGCACGACACGGCAAAGCAAGGCACGGCAAGGCAAAGCAAGGCACGACACAGCAAAGCAAGGCACGGCAAAGCAAGGCACGACACTGCAAAGCAAGGCACGACACGGCAAAGCAAGGCACGACACGGCAATGCAAGGCACGACGCACGACACGGCAAAGCAAGGCACGACGCACGACACGGCAATGCAAGGCACGACGCACGACACGGCAAAGCAAGGCACGACACGGCAAAGCAAGGCACGACACGCAAAGCAAGGCACGACACGGCAAAGCAAGGCACGGCAAAGCAAGGCACGACACGGCAAAGCAAGGCACGACACGGAAATGCAAGGCACGGCACGCAAAGCAAGGCACGACACGACAAAGCAAGGCACGAGACGGCAAAGCAAGGCACAACACGCAAAGCAAGGCACGACACGGCAAAGCAAGGCACGGCAAAGCAAGGCACGACACGGCAAAGCAAGGCACGACACGGAAATGCAAGGCACGGCAAGCCAAAGCAAGGCACGACACAGCAAAGCAAGGCACGGCAAAGAAAGGCACGACACTGCAAAGCAAGGCACGACACGGCAAAGCAAGGCACGACACGGCAAAGCAAGGCACGACACGGCAAAGCAAGGCACGACACGGCAATGCAAGGCACGACACGGCAATGCAAGGCACGGCAAAGCAAGGCACGACGCGGCAAAGCAAGGCACGACGCACGACACGGCAAAGCAAGGCACGACAAAGCAAGGCACGACACAGCAAAGCAAGGCACGGCAAAGCAAGGCACAACGCGGCAAAGCAAGGCACGACGCACGACACGGCAAAGCAAGGCACGACGCGGCAATTAAGCAAGGCACGACGCACGACACGGCAAAGCAAGGCACGACGCACGACACGGCAAAGCAAGGCACGACACGGCAAAGCAAGGAACGACACGCAAAGCAAGGCACGACACGGCAAAGCAAGGCACGACACGGCAAAGCAAGGCACGACACGCAAAGCAAGGCACGACACGGCAAAGCAAGGCACGACACGGCAACGCAAGGCACGACACGGCAAAGCAAGGCACAACACAGCAAGGTAAGGCACGACACGGCAAAGCAAGGCACGACACGGCAAAGCAAGGCACGACACGGCAAAGCAAGGCACGACACGGCAATGCAAGGCACAGCAAGGCACGACACGGCAAAGCAAGGCACGACGCACGACATGGCAATGCAAGGCACGACGCACGACACGGCAAAGCAAGGCACGACAGGGCAAAGCAAGGAACGACACGCAAAGCAAGGCACGACACGGCAAAGCAAGGCACGACACGGCAAAGCAAGGCACGACACGGCAAAGCAAGGCACGGCAAGCCAAAGCAAGGCACGACACAGCAAAGCAAGGCACGGCAAAGAAAGGCACGACACTGCAAAGCAAGGCACGACACGGCAAAGCAAGGCACGACACGGCAATGCAAGGCACGGCAAAGCAAGGCACGACACGGCAAAGCAAGGCACGACGCGGCAAAGCAAGGCACGACGCACGACACGGCAAAGCAAGGCACGACGCACGACACGGCAAAGCAAGGCACGACGCACGACACTGCAAAGCAAGGCACAACACGGCAATGCAAGGCGCGACACGGCAAAGCAAGGCACGACACGGCAATGCAAGGCACGGCAAAACAAGGCACGACACGGCAAAGCAAGGACGACGACACGGCAAAGCAAGGCACGAACGACACGGCAAGGCAAAGCAAGGCACAACACAGCAAGGTAAGGCACGACACGGCAAAGCAAGGCACGACACGGCAAAGCAAGGCACGACACGGCAATGCAAGGCACGACAATGCAAGGCACGGCAAAGCAAGGCACGACACGGCAAAGCAAGGCACGGCAAGGCAAAGCAAGGCACGACGCAGCAAAGCAAGGCACGGCAAAGCAAGGCACGACACGGCAAAGCAAGGCACGACACGGAAATGCAAGGCACGACGCGGCAAAGCAAGGCACGACACGGCAATGCAAGGCACGGCAGGCAAAGCAAGGCACGACACGGCAAAGCAAGGCACAACACAGCAAGGTAAGGCACGACACGGCAAAGCAAGGCACGACACGGCAAAGCAAGGCACGACACGGCAATGCAAGGCACGGCAAAGCAAGGCACGACACGGCAAAGCAAGGCACGACGCACGACGCGGCAAAGCAAGGCACGACGCACGACACGGCAAAGCAAGGCACGACGCATGACACGGCAAAGCAAGGCACGGCAAGGCAAAGCAAGGCACGACACGGCAAAGCAAGGCACGACACGGCAAAGCAAGGCACGACACGGCAATGCAAGGCACGGCAAAGCAAGGCACGACACGGCAAAGCAAGGCACGACGCGGCAAAGCAAGGCACGACGCACGACACGGCAAAGCAAGGCACGACGCACGACACGGCAAAGCAAGGCACGACACGGCAAAGCAAGGAACGACACGCAAAGCAAGGCACGACACGGCAAAGCAAGGCACGACACAGCAAAGCAAGGCACGACACGCAAAGCAAGGCACGACACGGCAAAGCAAGGCACGACACGGCAACGCAAGGCACGGCAAAGCAAGGCACGACACGGCAAAGCAAGGCACGGCAAGGCAAAGCAAGGCACGACGCACGACACTGCAAAGCAAGGCACAACACGGCAATGCAAGGCGCGACACGGCAAAGCAAGGCACGACACGGCAATGCAAGGCACGGCAAAACAAGGCACGACACGGCAAAGCAAGGACGACACGGCAAAGCAAGGCACGGCAAAGCAAGGCACGACACGGCAAGGTAAGGCACGACACGGCAACGCAAGGCACGACACGGCAAAGCAAGGCACGACACGGCAAAGCAAGGCACGACGCGGCAATGCAAGGCACGGCAAAGCAAGGCACGACACGGCAAAGCAAGGCACAACGCGGCAAAGCAAGGCACGACGCACGACACGGCAAAGCAAGGCACGACGCATGACACGGCAAAGCAAGGCACGGCAAGGCAAAGCAAGGCACGACACGGCAAAGCAAGGCACGCCACGGCAAAGCAAGGCACGACACGGCAATGCAAGGCACGGCAAAGCAAGGCACGACACGGCAAAGCAAGGCACGACGCGGCAAAGCAAGGCACGACGCACGACACGGCAAAGCAAGGCACGACAAAGCAAGGCACGACACAGCAAAGCAAGGCACGGCAAAGCAAGGCACAACGCGGCAAAGCAAGGCACGACGCACGACACGGCAAAGCAAGGCACGACGCACGACACGGCAAAGCAAGGCACGACGCATGACACGGCAAAGCAAGGCACGGCAAGGCAAAGCAAGGCACGACACGGCAAAGCAAGGCACGACACGGCAAAGAAGGCACGACACGGCAAAGCAAGGCACGACACGCAAAGCAAGGCACGACGCGGCAAAGCAAGGCACGACGCGGCAAAGCAAGGCACGACGCACGACACGGCAAAGCAAGGCACGACACGGCAACGCAAGGCACGACACGGCAAAGCAAGGCACAACACAGCAAGGAAGGCACGACACGGCAAAGCAAGGCACGACACGGCAAAGCAAGGCACGACGCGGCAAAGCAAGGCACGACACGGCAATGCAAGGCACGGCAAAGCAAGGCACGACACGGCAAAGCAAGGCACAACGCGGCAAAGCAAGGCACGGCGCACGACACGGCAAAGCAAGGCACGACGCATGACACGGCAAAGCAAGGCACGACGCATGACACGGCAAAGCAAGGCACGACACGGCAAAGCAAGGCACGACACGGCAAAGCAAGGCACGACACGGCAATGCAAGGCACGGCAAAGCAAGGCACGACGCGGCAAAGCAAGGCACGACGCGGCAAAGCAAGGCACGACGCACGACACGGCAAAGCAAGGCACGACGCACGACACGGCAAAGCAAGGCACGACACGGCAAAGCAAGGAACGACACGCAAAGCAAGGCACGACACGGCAAAGCAAGGCACGACACGGCAAAGCAAGGCACGACACGCAAAGCAAGGCATGACACGGCAAAGCAAGGCAAAGGCAAAGCACGAATGAAAAGCCATCGCAAGCACACAATCACATAAACACGCACAGCCATGGCTTTGGCAATCGGTCTCCTGTGCGGTCCGCAGCCTCTGTAGCCGCGAGGACTCGTTGGAGCTGAGAGACTTCCTCAGAAATTGGTGCAGCAAACTACATAGGCTCATGGAAACCAGCAGCAAACTTGACATTTAATTTTGGTTGTGGAACCATCCCTTTCTGTGATATCAACATGGGCAACTCCTATGACTACTTTCTCTTTCAAGGGGGATTGGGGGATTTCCTTGGTACCAAGTATCACAGAAACTTGGTCTAAAACCCGCGCAACCATGATGTTGCAGGAATTTGGCCCTTCAGCCAACCTAGAACACTTCCGCGATACACCCACCCTTCAAGTTCAGGGGAGTCCCCCTAAAACTTTAAACATGTATGATGGCCATACATGGGGCGTCCCTAACAAATGGGTTCTAGGATGCTGAGACCCGAGTCTAGGACCCGTTTGTTAGAACCCGCCTTGGGCTCCCTGAGGACATGCGCCTCAAGCCATTGCCAAGCATCTTGCTCTGCAGCATCTCTGTGTCGGCCTCAAAGTGGTCCAACTGGTCTTTGAGAGCATGGATTGTCTGAGCTAGCCAGTCCTCAGGGTCAACCTCCCTGTAGCATGTGAGCATAGGGGACCCCCAAAATGGTCTCAAAACAGACACATACACACAGAAACCACACAAGCACACAAACACAGAAACACACACACAGACAGAGAGAGAGAGAGAGAGAGTTGACACTCGTTGTTCCAACAGCCTGCTTTCGGAATGTCGCCATCAACCCTGGTCCTGATACTTCAGCTTCTCCGCCTCTTCCTAAAATTCGGCGAAGCTCGCGGCGTTCGAAGCCGCGGCGAACTGAACTTTTCTCAAGTCGACAGAACCCATTTCGTGGGCAAGCCACCGGTGGGTTGGTTTCCAGGAGAACCTTCCTGGGGTTCGGGACCCCCTTTTTTGGCAAGACCAAATATTTGTGCTGTCCTCTCAGTTTGAGACACACCAACGACAATCTGATCTGCTCAACAGCCATGAGTCCACCAAAGCACAACTAGCTTGGGACCAAACAACTTGCAACCCTTTCTGGATAACTTTAAGCGACGAACCAAAAGACGATCAACTACCTGGAGGGAATCCACATTCTGAGAGACACCCCAATCAACACTGGCATCGCAGAGCCGAGTGTCTAGGTCCAGCTCATCTGTCTTGGCAAGGCCGGTGCAGGAGAAAGCCTTGGTCTTGAATTCCCTCTCAAAGTCCTCAGTCCAGACAGGCTGCTGAACAAAGCTTTGGTGTCCCACGAATTGCAGCCTGGACCTACCCTCCCACCAACAAACATGGAAGTGCACAGCAAGGCTTCCCCAGGTACAACTTTTGGTACATCCAAAGCGTTATCACAGCTTCCCACAAGAAAATAGATTTCATAATTGTCATAAAGGGCTCTGTGCAATTCCATGTGGCTTCGTGGGAGGGGTAGCCCACATGGGACAAGTTCGCTTTGGAAAGAACTTCCAGCATGAGCATGCAAAAGCTATTTTCCGGTATCCCCCCACCCTTCAGAGGGACAATGGAACAGCAAAGTCATTTTAAGGATTCCCCCCCCCCAATTCCATTGATCCGTGTATGTGGGCATTTTCAGGGCAAGGGCTACATAGCCATGTATGGCTTCGATAACTTTGGACTCGGCTCGCCCTCCGATATGCAACTGGAATCATTCTGCAGCCGTCAACCGGACCCAAGGCATTCAAGAAATGCCCGAAGGAGCTCTTATGCATTATACCGAAACAGGTCACGATCAGAAGCAAAGGACCCTTCAAGGAAATCAAACACAACAACCCACGGGTCTGGGCTACAAGCTGATGATGATTGCTGTCTCAGGGATTCAAATACATTTTCAGCTCGGGAAACGTCACCCCAAACTGACTTTCGCCACAGGACCCTCCGCCCTGAAAAAACACGGCTTCTTTTGCCGTTTGCACGTCATCCAACCCTCTCCGCAAGCCAAGTCCTTGCCGAGTGGCTTTAAATCTGGCCATGTCGCTCTCTATCCGCTTCCGGCCCTCCTCGAGCTTATCCTTTAAATTGGACGGCACTTGGCTGGACCCGAGCCATTCTCGCCTTGATCCGCTGGTCCCTTGCCACACACACAAAACATATTTTTGGTGGGACATCACATCATTTTTCTAAACTCCAATAAACTAAGATTTTAAGAGCATGACTAGGAAATGCCAAGTCACATCTGAGATCTGAGTCTCTGCAACTTGTTGATGCACTTCTTCCTCGGTGGAGACAAGGTCTCAAAATGGTGAACCACACAAACTGCCGCGGATCGTTTGAATTAACACCAAAAGCTCAAAAAAGGAACCACACCCAGGTACAAGAAACAACAACTCCGACCAACAAACATGGCTGAATGCGCGCAAACCTAGTTTGAACATGACCTTCCTTTTGGAAAGGATTTCTGTGAACTTTCACATCTCTCGGCGGCTCTCTTGTGCGCGAGTCGTCACAAGAATCTGAAAAAAACTTTAACATACATTAAAGGAGCTGCCACAATGCTTGCGCATGCGCAGCACAAACTTGAGCAATGACTAAAAACACAAATCAGGCCAATGCCGTGGACCGTGATGCAAAGCTTGCGATTCTCGCAAAGCTTCAACTCCTCTCCCAACCTCTCCTTCTGTGATCCCTGCGCGCTGATGATCTCATCCCACAACTCCGCGAATTCCTCCACTCCCTCGGCGCCCTTCTTCAGGACGACCTCGATATCCTGGTCAAACCATGGCTGGGACATGCTGGGCCTCACTTTCTGCGTAGATTCGCCAAAACAGGTTCAAATCTTTGTTTACCCCAAATTGAACATGGCCTTCCCAAAAAGTACAAAGTCCACAACTCGGGAAGTGAGGGACAAACAGAAACTGACTTGCTGAGGAAGTACATGCGCCACCTTTCCATGCACCCCCTTTACATGGGAATATGGCGAGTGACCCACATTTTCTAATTTCAACTTAGTGATACCCAAAGTCATCACCTCCCTTGTTCTGAAAGAGTAAGGCTCCAGGAAGTTGATTCGCTCGAATTTGGGGGGGGTCTATTCTAAGCATGTTAAGCAACCATTTCAGCAAGTTTAAGCAAATCTAAGGAAGTTTGAACAAATTGCGTTTGCTCTACTGAATTCCTCGTGCAGAGGAATTATCAATTCAAAATGATGCGAACTGTGTGTTTGGCTTGTTGCCTGACAAGTCAGGCGAATGAGCCTTCGAAGCCTAGCTTAAGCTGGGGTGCACCTATAGTTTAAGAACCATTAATTTTACTGTGAATGACTTGGCTTCCTGGAGGTGGTCGCAAATATGCCTGTATTCGGCCCATTACCATTGTTGCCCGACGGGAAGTCAAGACTTTGTTCTCGAATGGTTGCGGATATCAACTGCTAAGCCTGACCAATTTGCTGAACAACGGCAAAGTCTGACACAAACCTTCTCTTGCCTAAGCTTGCCTAAGTTTTGCTGGATAAGCTTTGGATACGCCAGGTCAAACCTACATTCAGCCTACCGAATTTCCCGTTCCTCTACATTTTTCTTTGACCGTTCCGACGCGCTCCACCGTGTGTAGCAAACCCCAAACAAACAGCTTCGGCACACAGGTTTCGCGTTCACGCCGGTCCTTCGCCAGCTTTCTGGCAGCGGGCGCTGCCATGGGTGAAAGCTATTTACACAAAGCAAGCGTCGGATTAAGGCGTTCTGTGCGAGAAAGGCTGCAGAGCGCTCAAAGCCGATCCGGACTTCCGCAAGTTCCGGAAGAATCCCTGTGAAATGTACATTGGACCCACCCCCACAAACAGTGCAGTATTGTAGATGTTTGATCAAGGAAACAACCACTTCATTGGAATTGGTACATCCAAAACCATGTAAAAAACAACAGGGCGGATATCCGCACCTACTTCTTGGGATGGTTCGTAACCCTCACTTCCTCGGGCTTTGATTGTGGCTCACTTGGTCTCAGGGGGCTCTGTGGCCCAGGTACAAAGTGCGAAAATGAACCCTGACCTGACGGGCTCTGAGGTCCCGCGCAGGGCGAGGCATGGGGCCAGGGGGCACCCTTAGCCAAACGTTTTCAGCTTCAACACTTGTTTCTGGGGGAAATTGTTTTCCTGATATACCCGTAACCGGTTCGCCGATCGATCCAATTGCACATCTTTGAAGCCGAAGGGGTGGTAGCTTGCATTCCGGTAACATGTATTCATTCAATGTTTCTTGTGCTTTAACACAACGGCGCATGCTACTATCCGTGAATGAAAACATGCTTCAGGCTTCTCTTAGAAGTGCGCTGGAGGTTTCCCTACATCCGAGAGACGCCACCCATCTGAGAAAGGAACATGCGCATGCCTGACCCAGCAGCGAAGCCCGAAACACGTTAGCAGCTACGAGTACAGGAGAAACTCTCGTGTCTGCACTTCCACATGGGCCTTTTCGTGGATGTTGGTGGATTGTAAATACTCCCTGGAAAATAACAGGAACCAACAAGAACGTTGTTTTGGGACACCGCTTTTGAGGTTCCACGATAATTGGCTTGATGAATCAACATGATGCATTCATACCCCACACCTGCACACACACACACAGGTATATGTGTGTATATACAATATACAGACTCGTTGATTTGTCAGCGTTGAAACAGAACAACAAAATCTTCTGTATCCACGCTAGGACCCCCTGCCCTGACACAACAGGGGGAGCCTGATGCTCAAGGCATACTGGGAACTATTCTTGGGCACGCGGCATGCCGCCGGGACGGGCTGACGCCGCGACTTAGAAGTATCCTAGGCATTTCTCTCACTCCACTCTAAAAGTAACTGCGTTTTCTTAGACGCCGTGGGCCTGGTGTTTTGCCTTGATTCTAGGGTGTTTCAGCTTTTCCTTTCCTCCTTCACCTTGAGCCTTTCCTTTTTGTGCGGAGAAGCAAGGCGTGCGCTCTTCTTAAACACCGGGACGTTGTGTTCCGCAGACAGCGTGGGAACAATTCAGCGCGAAGAGTGAGCTGGTTGGCTGCAGGGGTTGCTCAGCTCAGCGCGCGCTCCCACCTTTTTGACGGGGCCGCGCCCCTGGGAGGTGATACGGGGATGCTGGAGATTTGTGCATGTAGGGGATGTTGGCGCGGATGCTGACCGTTCGGCAGGCGGGGCTACATGACACCTGATGTTTTGGGCTGCACCCGGCATGCTGGGGATGCTGAGCAGCAATTTGGTGCACAGCGCAGCTGGATTAGCCAACCAGCGCTGGCTGAAACATGATTTTCTAGGTGCAGCGCAGTTTGAGTTGATTTTGTTCGAACTTGACTAGAATGTGATGAGGAAAGAATTCAGTTGAAAGGCAACCTTTGCGCGATCCATTGTGCCCAGCCTCAGGGCTCATCTCCAGCCCCTGTTGGGAAGTTTGCAAATATGCGCCCTGGCTGGGCGTTGTGCCGCAAGATGCCCCCCCAAAAAAGTATGTGGCGAAAGTCCATGATCCTGCTGGTTGCCGAAGGTTCCGGCCGTGCCTCCAACCTTTAGGCGCCTCAAGACCTCCGCGGCCACCTTGTATTCCGACTTGGATTGCCTCTGCCCAGGAGGTTCCACAAACTCTCCCATCTGTTCCGCTTTCTTTCGCAGCGCTCAGATGGTTTGACCAAATTCTCACACCACACCTCTTCCTCTGCCATGAACTTCTCGTGCGCCAGGTCGTCCGCCGAAGAACTGCTTCTCACTCGGCCCGCATGGTATCGCATGGTGCGATGCGCCTCCACCCTCCGCTGCACTCTCTGCTTGCGCTGATTTCCTCAAAACCTTTCCTCTGGCCACCAATCAAGGCCCTCCTGCAAATTTGACCGACCAACTGCTGGCCTCCTCACAACCGTTCGGGGCATTTAAGACCTCCGCCCGGGGAACTCCTTGCCCTTCCTTTCCCTCCCCACTCTGAGGAGCAAGGACAAACAGGTATCGACCCCGTGCTCCCTCAAGAAGCCACCCACCCAACGATGGGTGGGCGGAAAAGCAAAGCATGCACTCCTCTCACGCACCGGGACGCCGAAGAAATGACACATGCGGGGGGCAAATCTTTTCATACATTAATCATGTATATATATATATATTCATTTAATGCAGTAATTAACATGTCCATCTGGATGTGACAAACATGTAAGTCCATATTCAAATGTGCCAGTTGCTCACACCCGTCCCCTTTTGGCGAGCCACGGGCCAGGCTGACGAATCGCAGGAGCTGCCTCATGCCATCGCCCCGCCCCTACCTTCACGGGGAAGAGTTGGGCTTTTCTGACGCAAGAGCCAAAGGACGCCAAAGGGACCAAAAGGATTGCTACAGTACTCAAAGGACACCACACCTCTTTCTCACCGCCATGGCCAGTCAGTCGCAAGTGAAGCCGTTGGCTCTAAACCACCTTTTAGGACCCAACTGAATCTTTTTTGGAGCTGCCAAAAGTTCCAACCTTGTGTGATGCCATGGTATAATCCTGTTGGCAGTCTTTGCTTTGTAGATCGTGGATGTATCACTCTCAAAGTCTAAGGGTACGGCTGGCAACCGCCAAGGTTTCTCAACCGTTCATTCTAGCTAGTTCTCGCCTTGTCCGACACGTCCCTCAAATTCAACCGAGGGCTGTGCCTCAATAAACGTGGGCTCTAGTTTTCCAAAGCCACAACAAGGAATTTGGCTCACCAGAATCGCGCCAGATTCGCGGAACAGCGGGTAGTGTGTCTATTTCAGGTGCTCCAAGCTGGTGAAAAGGGAAAGCACCAAGTGTGTGGGGTCCACCAGCTTGAGTTAGGTGGCATTTCTCTCCTGGTTGATTGTAATATTGCTTACTTATGTTGGTCACTTGCTAGGTTGAATGAACACCCAACATCAAGCCCGCTGGACAAATGCTGAAACAGTTCAAGGGGGGTCTACCCGAATCCACGCAAGGAATCCAACGGGGAAATATCAACCTGATTGTGGCTCAGGTGCCGAGGAATCAATCCCAAGAAAAGTCGCAACATGTTTTTGTTGTTGGGCAGTCATGCGACATGTGGGGCATCGCCAGGCATTGCTCCATGGCCCAGGCGCTGTCGATCCCAGGGCCCGGACCGCTCCCTTACCGCCACGCTTGCCGCCGCCCTTTCGCCGAGGTTCTTTCCCATCACCTTGCTCCTGGTCCGGGCCGACCCGAGGCCCCATGGCGAACTCAGATTTCACTGAGGACCAAACTAATCTAAGGAATCCACCTCCTGTAGCTCAGAGGGGAATCGAATCATTTTAAGTCGGGAATTCCTCGAGTCAACATGACCCTCTGGATTAATCCGATGATATGTAAAGTTTGCGCAAAACATGTAGCTTTCTGCTGGGAGGACGTAGCTACTTCGTGGCGACCCATCAGCCTCATTGACTTGGAGCTTTGCCTCTGACCCCTGTGACATCATGAAACCTGTGAATGGGCCAAACATCTGCAGATAGGGTGGCTGTGTCCTTTTGAACTGCCAGTAAAACCACCCGAAAAGGGTTCCACTGTTTGAACCCCCCCAATGAATACTGGGATAAACCACCAATCAACTGGTGCAGGACCTTCATTCAAGGCAGTCTCCACGTACTTACGTACAAGAGTGCTTCCTGGCAACGAGTTGCATGTCGCCAAATGCCCTTCCAAGCGCCATTCCACACCTCATCACGCCATCCCAGCCCTCCATGTGGCTGTCCGTGGAGCTGCCGTGTTTGAACAGAATTCCTTACAGGATACACCGAAACACTGCTTTGTCGCCAGGCAGTTCTCTAACTGGCCTAAATGCATCCTGTATGAGCCCCTACCCCACCACGTTTGCAGGTGCAGTGCCGAGCCTCTGCTCGTTCGTTCTTTCCGGACTGGAACTCCATCCTGACGGCTAGCGCTACGGACTGCACATGTGACATCAAGACAACTCAACAGATCCAACTTCAGTCCCAACGCCCAAATGCAAGGATCTCAATACGAAAGTGACACACACACACACACACATGTAAAGGAAACACTGGCAAGAACCAAGCAAGTCTGACGGCCTGCGATAAAGGTCCAGCTGAAATCAACAAACCATCCAGCTGAGGCGGAAGGCCCGTACCCTAAATTCTTACGAACGCCGGCTCCCTTTTTTTGACCCTCCATTCCTTCAGTTTGACCCCCCCCCCTTTCCCACCCCTTCTTTTTTGACCCCCCTTGCTTTTATTTGACCCCTGTCCACTGCCTGTCCACCCGGCGGGGGGGGGGGCGCATGCGCTAGCTGCGAATGCAAAGGGCAGCTTGTAGGCGTGTGGCTTGAGCCGACCATGCCAATGTGCAACCCCTTTGTTTCTAGAGATGTTCACCCTCTCCGTCTCCCGTTGCACCCCCTTTGCACCCCCAGCTGTATGTCTCGAAAGAGAGGACACCTACAATGGTGTCTCCTTGAGCCAAGGTGAAAAGGGAGTCCTCAACAATGAGAAGCAGCACCCTCTGGCAAAAACGGCATCCCACGCCTGGCAGGACGTCCCTTGATGATGAGGCCTTGAAGTGTTCGAACCTGATTGGCCAAAGGTTAGGCCAAAACTTGGTTGGCATTTGTTGATCTCATTAGGGTTAGAAACGTTTCTAAAGAATAAGGTCTGTGACACATCTAGATTCCAAGGAAGGGTCACTTTCTCCCCAGCACCATAGCATGG